AGTATTGGGCTATGTACAATTGTCTACTTCTTCTTATGATTTTTGCTTCATTGAGTAGACATTAGTTTTTTTATTTTTTCTTATATAACCTTAGAGTTTGTAGAGTCAAGAGTTGCCTTAACAGGTTAAGTTTCAAAATTTGCATGGTTGATAGGTTGGGTAGGTTGAGAATCTAGTTTTGAAGGGGTTGGTTGAGATTCTAGTTTTGAAGAGGTTTGTTAGGAATCTAGTTAAGAATCTGGTTTTGATGGAGTTGGTTAAGAAATTGGCAAGTCAACAACTAATAATCGATATTCTTGAGTAGTATTCTTCCCCTGAATATCATTCTTACTGTAGTATGAAAGATTATCAAAGAAAGTGACATCTATAGAGTTATAAAATTTTTTTGTGATGGCTGAGTAATACCTATAGCCCTTTTGGTTTAGAGAATAACCAAGGAATATGCATTTTAAAGCTTTGGGATCAAGCTTACTACAAATTTATTAGCTAATATGAACAAAGGCAGTGTAGCCAAAGAGTTTGATAAGAATGGAAGAGATCAATTGAGTTTGTGGATAGGAAAAAATGAGAGTTTGACAAAGTGTTTTCAAGCCAATAACTTGAGAAGGCATTCAATTAACCAAATAAGTTGTAGTGAGGATAACTTCTCTTCAAAAATATTTAGGTACATTGAAATCTGATCATTTCTATCAAATGTCTGTTTTTACATTCGATAATCCTATTTTGTTGTGGAGTGTCGACATAAGAGTTTTGATGGATAATGCCATAATTGATGAGGTAAAAGTTAATAATAGAGTTGTAGTATTCTTTTTCATTGCTAGTTTGTAGGACTTGAATTTTGGCTTGGAATTGGGTTTGCACCATGCTATTGAAATTTTAAAGATTTGGCTAACCTAAAATTTTTTTTTCATAAGAAATATCCAAGTGAGCCAAGTGAGTCAAGTATGTAACTACCTAGAACCTGTGATATTGCTAACTCTTGACGGTCCCAAATGTCACTGTGAATCATCGAGAAAGGTCTGAGATAAGTTATATGAAAAGCTAGGATAGGTATTTTGAGTGTGCTTAAAAAGTTGACAAATTTCACATTGAAAATCTTTAGAAATATTATTGAATAATAAGGGAAATAGCCTTTTTAGGTATGAAATATTTGGATGTTCTAATCTATAATACCATTGCATGATAAGATCATCCTTACTAGTACTAGAGACTAAATTATACAAGAGTTTTGTGGTATCTTAGGTGCATTATCTTGAAGAAGGCAAAGCCCTGCACACATCTTAGTACTGCCAATAATCATCTTCGAGCTTAATTCTTGAAATTCACATAAGTTAGAAAACAATTTAGTGACACAACATCTATCATTCCTAAGATTACTGATGAAAAGTAGGTTACAGCTTAAATTAGGGACATGGAGGACAGAGTTAAGTGTTATGTCTTTTAAAACTATAATAGAATCTATTCCTAACACCTTTGAGAGAGAGCCATTAGTAATTTTTACAGTAGAATTATCATAGCAAGGTCTATATGTGTTGAATAAGGATGCATCTTCAATCATGTGATTTGATGCTCTTAAATCAACAATCCAAGATTGTGTATTTTTTCATTGAACACTTAAGATGTTTAGGAAATTACCTTTTTATGCTAATAAACTAGTTTCAAAGGTTGTAGACTTGTTTTGAAAGGTTTGTTAGAGCATTACCTTTTCGTGACTTTCTTCATGTCATACCTCTGCAGAAGAAGAGCTTTCATTCCTGCTAGTCATAACAAAAACTCATATGGTTATAAGCTAATGGTTTAGGCCAACTTGCTTTGATACCATATAAAAACTTAAAGAATAATTGTCCTTATTTCTTCTTATTCAATCTGCAATAAAGAAGTATATGTAAATAAATAAAAATAGTGAAGTTCCTTATTAGGAAACAACTTACAGAAGCAAAAAATAAAAATAATAAAAAGAAAGAAAATTATGTATTCTAGAATAGAAACAAATCCCTAAAAACTTGACAATAAGAATAATTGACTAAATTAGAAGAGTAAATGAGAAATATTCCTAAAATAAATTAAGAAATCAAGCTGCACTACCATAGGAGAATCGAATATGCACTAATGTACGATAATCAAATTTCTATATGACATGTAATTAAAGACCTTGAAATCTTTTAAGGATAAAAGCACTAATGAAATTAGAATCGATTCCTAAACTAATATTTGGTCTTATTATTTAGAAATACAAATAAAACTTATACTAGTAAGGTCATGATCAATCATGTTACCAAACAATAGAATAATAAAATCAGATTAAACAGGCATTAGAAAACGAAGGTGCAATGGATTATAGGATATATTAACTATTCTTAAGGTGCAATGGATTATAAGATATATTTTCATGCGATATTTAACTAATTTTTGTTTGGAAATGACTTTATACTTTGAGTGATAATTTTTATTATATTTGTATGAATTTTTAAATTCACCTAATGATATTTAGACTTTACTTATCTATATGTTTAATATTTGCATACTTAAATTAAGAAGATAATAGATTATCTTTGTTAAGCAATTAACTTAAAATCAATTGGGAGTAAATGGAGAGGTTAGACTTGAAAATTAGATTACAAGAAATTTGATATTTATTTAATGTGGGAAAACACCAATTTAACAGGTCTCCATTTTGTGTAGGTAGAGATGGAAGAAGCTTATCACGTGATAGATTTAGAAAAGGCAATAAAAGAAAACCCTGGCTCTAATATCATATTAAGTAACCAATTTAAAACTAATTGACAGTAAGTGAAAAAGAGCCTAATATGAATATAAACTATAGGAAATTAGATATTTATTAGATTTGAGATAACACCGCTTTAATAATCCTACTTAAAAATGGCATTAGGATAAGATGGAATAGTTTTTCTCGTCTTGACATTAATGGGATTATAGGACTTCTTGTACCAAAACATTTTAAAATTATTAGTAGAATTAGGGTGCAAGAAAGGGTTATAAATGGTAGGGATATATTTTTCAAAAAACAAAACAATCTTCAATATTTTATAATATGAAATTAAGATTATAAACTTTTATTTTGTTATAATTAGAATATTCATAATATAAAATATTCAATTTTTTGTTTTAAAAATTTTTAATTGGATGATTGAATTTATAAAATAATCTTACTTAGATTCATTTGAATGAGTTAAATGACAAAATTTTAAAAGAATACTATTTTAAAATTTTATCAATTAGACATTATTCATCTAATTTTAAGATTAAAATAAAATAAAATTTTGTAGTCTTAATTTTATATAATAAAATATCGAGAACTTATTTATATTTTGAAATAAAAGTTTGAATGTTTATTTGGTTATTAAGCATAAATGGTAAGGTTTAAACTTTTAGGGTATGTTTGATAGAGTGAAACCGGTGGAAAGAAGTAAAGGGAAAAGTGAAAAAATCGAAAAAAAAAAATTCTATGTCTTTGATATGAAAGAAAAGTGAGAAAAAAATAAAAAAAATTAATTTTTACATTTATTAACAAAAACAAATCACTTTAAATTGAAAAGAAAGGAAGAAAGAAATAAGAAATGTTAATCAATCATGAATGTTTTAAAAAATATCAATAATTTTTTAGATTCTATCTTTTTATCTTAATTTACAATGGGTATAATGGAAAAACAATATGATTTTTAATTTTTTTCTTTTTTTTTTCAATTAAACTAAGTAATGGATGGAAAGAAAATTATTTTTTTCTTTTAACTTTTTTTACTTTTCTTACTAAGCATACCATAAAAAAAACATTTTTTTCGAAAAGGGATCAACTTACATAAAAAAACCTTTACACCTTTTTTTAAGCCTTGATTTTAATAGATTCAAATGATAAGAATAAACAATTTTTCTTTTTTTTTTTTTTCATCTCTTAAATTTATAAAAATTAATAATTAAAAAAATGTAAAACTTTTTAGTTTTATACCGAGGTAAATTGATCCTTACCCTATTTTTTCTTTTTTTTTTTTTTCATTTTTCTTTCCTTCCAATTTCTCTCTTTTCATTTTTCTAACCAAATTGTTAAGTAAAATCTTAGTGTGTACATACACGTTAGATCAAAAAAAATGAAAAAAATGACTTGAGAGGGCGTAAAAGTAAAAATAAAATAAATTTTGGATGTGTCTAAGAGGAGAAAAAAAATGAGAGAAACTAAAATAAGAAATATTATTATTTTACACCCTTATTTACAAAAACAAATCTTTTTAAATTAGGAAGATAAGAAGAGATAAAATGAAATAGTCCCGAATCAAGTGTGTATATTTACAAGACTATTGCATGATTTTTTAAATATTATCTTTTATTTTAACTTACAAAGACTATAAAAATAAATAAAATAATTTTTATTTTTTTCTCAATTTTCAGCCCTAATCAAATAAATGATGGAAAAATTACTTTTTCTTTCTATTTTTCATATATTCTTTTTCCATTTTATCATTTTCTTTTATTTTTAATTTTATATCTTTTTTATTTATCTATCAACCCTTCCAAATAAAAGCTTTAATGAATTGATGAAGATTGTATAAGTACACAAAATACTTATTTCTATACAAATATATATATTTTTGGCATTCGAGCATTTGACTTTTTTTTGTTGATAATCATTTTGATTACTTGACTTGAAAAGAAATTGTAAAATGCAAAAACTAGATGAAGCTTTGCCTAATTGTAGTCATTGAATTAATCGAATGGATCTGTGTTACTAGTACTTTTTTTCGATGAATTGTTTCAAAATTTTATATTCTATACATTAATTTTCATCGCTCCATTGAACAATTCACAGTTAAATGTTCCGAAAGCAATGGGCTATTTCAGCCTGTAGGTCCACAGCATTATACATATATGTGCTCAAAAGTCAAAAGTCAAAACCCTTGAGTCAAAAAAATTCTTGACTAGAGAGAACGTGGAGGGCACGTGCCACCGAAATGCGTGATGGATCATATATTCTTGATAGAGAGTTGCCCTATAAATGGCGGGAGCCTTGCCTGGGTCGAAACTTCACGCACCCAATCATCTCTTTCTATTTGGCGTCAAAATCTCACTGTTTATCACAATAAAAAATTTCTCCAAAACCCTCCGATCCTTAAAACCCAAACTTCCCCTATTTTTGTTCTTCACCTCTTTCTCTTTTATTATTTCCCCTCCTTTCGTCTAAATTTCTTCAATTCTAGGGTTTGTTAGTCTCTTTATTGGAAAACCCTAGTTTTTTTTCCCTTTTGGGTTTGCTTTTTGCAGATAGAGAAAGTGGGAGAGTTGGAGCAGTGTGGTACATTCTAATTCAATGGAGGCCGCGGCCAGTGTCGCCGCCGCACGGAGTGGTTCGCTGCTGATGCCATCACCGTCGCGGAAGGAGTGGCGTGCCGTTTCTGACCATCACGTGGTTCGGAGCCCCGGGGATGAAGAGGTGATTTCATCTAATCATGAAATTTCCCTTGCTTTCTTTATTTTTTGGGTTCTTAGAAAATGTTCCAAATTCGTTTTTCGAATCTGAAATTGTTTGGGCTCTAGGAAAAGGTAAAAAACAATTACCTGGATTAATTTAATTTAACTTCTAGTGTTTGGTGTTCTTCATGTTCTCCTTGAGCAAAAAACTTAGGGTTTATCTATTTCTTTTTCCTTATCTTTCTGGCTCTTTTAATTTGTTTAGTTGTATACACTGAATATTCATTATTAAGTAGTAGTACTTAGTTTATTCTTTTTCCATAAGTTTCTCAATAACAGAATTTGGGTTGGGTTTGTTAGATCGAGTCATTTATGAGCAATCATGTGCTCCAAATTGAAGCATTTTTTGATGCGTCAATTAGATCGTCTGGTTCACTTTGATGACAAGTTTGTGGTCCATTGGCTGTTGAAATATTGGGAATGTGCATTTGGTTTATGCCAATTTCTTGTGTGTTTATGTAATACCAATGGTATAGTGTGTCAAATCCTAGAAAGTTTATTGGGTTTAGTGAAGTGAGGAAATGTCCAGCTGTGAACGGTGGAATTGAGCATCAAGTTATGTTGATTAAGCTGCAAAAGATTATCGTTGCTGTTATTGTTGGACCATTGGTGTTCATTGTTTGTTTTATTCAGTTTTCTTGTGACATGCAGGAATTGGACAAATCAAAGTTGGGACAATCAGATGAGAGAACCATATATGAGGTAAGGTTTTTGATCTTAAAATTTAATTATATTTTGAGAGTGATAAAAAGTGAACATGGTTGAATGCTTATCAAGGTGCAGCATGGGAGAGAACCTGATGATGTTGACTTCTGTTCAATCACGGTTGATGGGAGTTTAGATGAGGACATATTGCAGCAGCAGATCCACAATGTTACTAGACAGAGAGAGGAGCTCCAACAGATGGAGGTTGAACTCCGAGCTCAGGCAATTGCAAGAGCAAGGATCCTGGAGATACAGAATAGCTGTGATGCTAAAATCAAAGCCCATGCCAGTGCTGCTGCCAAGCTTGAGGTTAAAAAAAATTTAGAATGTTATCCATAATATTATTGTTCTGAAGTTCAACTTTCGGAGAAAATAAACAAGTTAACATTTAACTGCTTCTTGAAATTATAATATGATCTTTGGTTTATAAAAAGGAAAAAAAGAATTTAGGTTTCATGCATATTGTTATTCATTTCAAAATTACATATTGAACTTCTCATGTTTGAATTAGCCTACAAAATATCAGTCTGATCCATTGACACTAGAAATTATTCCAAGCATGCTACAAGTAGATTCTAGCAAGGTTGCTGTCTTTTTGTGACTTTCAATCTTTATTTTGGCTTTACTTGCTTCAATAGGAGCGACTCTGTGAAAGTGAACAGACCATACATGAATTGGAAAGGAAAATGGAAGAGAAAGATAGAGAGCTTCATGCCATCAAAGTTGAAAAAGAAGAGGTCTGTCCATTTGATCATTGCTTTTGGACTAATTTTTATTTTTCTTTTAAAATAAATTGTTGGTTTTAACAAGTCATTTATAAATTAGTGCTTCTTGTATTATCTTGTCAGGCCTGGGCGAAGGAAGACCTTCTCAGAGAGCAAAATAAGGAACTGGCAACTTTCAGGTATGTGTTTGTGTTTTACTCTTAAGATCTTTTTATTTGCAGTAAACATAAGCCTCAAAACAATAGCATTGATATGGATGTTTTATTTATGCGATTGCTTTGAGACGAACACACTGAAAGTTTCTAAGTCTATTCAAGGATTGAGTTAATATATTAGCTAAGTGTTTAACTCTGAATAGCATTTCTTAAATTATTAGCAGCTGCTTTTGTCGGTGATTGTTTTTAATATATTAAACTCACAGCTGAGGTTTGAAGCTACGGACATTTAGATGGGTTTCCTGTTCTTTTTCTTTTGGCAGAAGAGAACGTGATCATTCAGAAGCTGAGAGAGCCCAACATCTAAAACAGATATGTGATCTTCAGGAGCATGCTCAAGAGAAAGAGAGGCAGCTTATTGAGTTGCAGGAACAGGTCCATGCATTTGCTTTATTTTGATGCACCTTTTTTTATTTTATTTTTAATTCCAGAGGTTAAGGTTTGAATATTCTGTCACACTGTATGTGGTGTACATCTGTAGGTTATTGAAAATTACAATTACTAATTTTCAGATTAACGTAATTTACAAGAACAAATTTGTTTGTGTTGGAAATGGAAGCCATGCAATGATTTCGATTAACTGTAATGTTGATTGCTAGAAGATTTCTAGCCGCATTTCCTAATGGTAGTCTTATTCTTCAGTATAGGGCTGCTCAGGAAACCATTCTTTATAGGGATGAACAGTTGAGAGAGGCCCAAACTTGGATTTCACGTGTCCAAGAGATGGATGCTTTGCAGTCAAGTACAAACCACTCCTTACAGGCTGAATTGCGAGATCGTATAGAACAATATAACCAGCTATGGCATGGCTGTCAGAGACAGGTTGATGAGTGTTTAGTTTCTTGTTTACACTATTTTCTCTTTCCTTAAATAAATAAATTTGATGTCATTTTCAGCGAGTTTAAATTGACCTTGTTCCTGGTTGTTAATATTAGTTTGCAGAGATGGAGAGACTTCATTTACATACGATACATCAGCTTCAACTTGAGCTGGCTGATGCAAGAGAGAGGAATGGTTCTTATACTGATGAATCACATATATCCCAAGCAAATTCAAAAGATTTATCTCAATTTGGTCCAAATAAAGGAAACCAAGTGGATTCTAATGGAAGTAGTGCAAAAAATGCTGATACTGGGGTCATTTCGAATGGGGCTTCAGACAATGTTCAATCATTTGCTTCAGCTGTCTGTGCACCAACTCTGGTAAGATTGCTGACTTTTCTAAAGTGTCATTGCTGAGATTGTGCTGTAATCAGAAATTTAATATTTATATAGTGTTATAGGTGTACACCTTTCTTCATATGGTAATGTGTTCTGTTGGCAAAATATGATAACTGTATCTTTAGTTTTATTGAAGTTGTGGATCTCTGCACCTTCCCTTTCCTCTCTCTTCCTACATTTCATCTAATGTCTGGTTTGAGTTGGTGCTTGTAAATTCATTTTAGAAAAGTTTTTAGTTGTAAAGCTTAGGCTATTATTCTTTTGGTCTTGTTTATAGCTCTTTTTATTACTTCCTATTTTTGTTCCCCTTCAATGACTGTGTTGTCTTTCAGATTCAGAATGACCATGTTTCGAGTGTTCCAATTACTCCACTTGGGATGCCTACATACCTCCCACCTGGGCAGGTGACTGCTCTGCATTCGTTTGTCATGCATCAACAGGGGGTTCCCCATTCTGTGGCATCTCATGTTGGACACTATTCAATGCCAGCGATGTCATCCATCCTGTGGCAGAACCAACAGGTATGGTCAAACAAATTCATTATCAATTTGTCCCAATGTTTTCTTTGTTATATGTAATGGTTTTTCATCATGTTTTTTAGACTTCATCAGAGGGTTTCCAACTATCTGCACAGAATCAACCTCCACAATCCCAAACTGAGCAAAGCCTTGGGAGGTCTGATGTAAAGTATGAATATGAAATGTCTGTCAATGGACAAACCATTCCTCCAGACTATCTGGATCATATAAGCCAAGGGCCAGAGCCCAATTCTGTGATTTCATTATCTGCTGGGAAAGCACAGGTTCTTAAAATCAAGATTTAAGATGATTCTATTCACAGTTCTCAGTATTGTTGTCATCTGTTATTGTAACTTGTTAAGACCATTTCTTTGCAGGTCCTTGAGTCAATTAATGCTAGTTACCTCGTGGACCCTCAACCTGAGCCAAGCTTGCAGCAGGTTTCTTCACAATTTCTTGATGCATTGAGATTGGGCTCTCTTGAACAGAGCTGTGAATCCAAGGTTTGTCAATTTAGCTTGTCTTCTAGCAGTTGGAAATGTTTCAGATCTAACCTCTACTTAACATTGAACTGGACAGGAACAGAATATTCTGAACATGAATAATCATGTGTTGGAGGACCAAGTTCTAACAACAGAAGAAGCTAGTGCTGCTGCCTGCCCATCTCCTCCTGATTCTTTGGTCCATTCTATTAATTTCAGTGAAACAACAATCAGCAATGGCACTGGTGCTATTTTGCAGGAAAAGTTGGTCTCAATGGGGCAGACCAATATATTGATATCAGCTAAGACTTCAGAAACTGCTCTGCTTGATGAAAGATCATTGTTGGCTTGCATTGTTCGCACTATTCCAACTGGTGGCAGAATTCGGATCAGTTCAACGGTTAGTGAGCTGCTAATAATTTTTCTTAGGGCAACTTACTATGGCAGTTAAGCCTGCACAAATGGGATTTGACTTGTATCTGTTACTTGCAGCTACCAAATAGGCTGGGGAAAATGCTTGCACCGTTACATTGGCATGATTACAAGAAAAAGTATGGAAAGCTTGATGAGTTTGTAGCCAATCACCCTGAGGTTTGTTTCTTGCAACTTTTAACTGCTATTTTAAATGTGGATTATACTTTCTGAAGAGTTGAGGCTGATTTCTTTGTGATTTCAGTTATTTGTGATTGAGGGTGATTATATTCAGCTTCAAGAGGGAGCGCAAGAGAAGATAGCAGCCACAGCTGCTGTTGCTAAAGTCGCTGCAGCCGCCGCAGCCTTGTCTTCTTACTCCTCATTTTTGCCTTCTGTTGCTGTTACTCCAATGGCGCAGGCTAATAGACCAAAGAAGGTCCCCCCATCAATTGATTCCAACCATGTGAAGAATGAGAATACCGTTTTCAAGGAGCCTGCAACCATCTCTAAAAATGCAGCTGATGATCATTCACAGCTGTTAGGAATGCAGAATCAACATCCCAATGGCATTTGTTTTGGTGTGGCTGGAGGTCTCTCTAATGTAAAAATATTGAGCAAATCTAAAGATCCTACTGAAATTAATGGAGCAAATTTTGAGAGATCTAGTGTGACAAGTGTTGAAAGCAAGGCCTCTGGTAATGGAAGGTCTAATTCAAATTTTGTTGGAAAACAGCCGGGCAGGTATGTGACTTAAAACCCTGCAGATAGCTGAATTTCATTTATCAGTGTATGTCTCTGTGCCTAAAAGTTATTGAGCTTAATTGTCTTGTACCATGGCAGGGCAACTGGGGCAGCATTATCTTCTAGAAGATAGTGAGTGCATTTTCCTCGATTGTGAGGTATTGTTTAATCGTTGTGTTATATGTTCATTACGCATGCATTCTGTATTCTACTACAGCTCTTTCACCAGTAATTCTAATTTGCAACAAGCTAAATTTGAAGCATAATGAAGTGCAATGATTGTGTGTGTTTGCGTTAGATAATTTGTGTCTCCTTTCCTGCTGGGATTGATTGAATGTCTTAGATGTGGCATACCCTTTCTGAGATATAGATAAACTGATTTTGCACAAAGCAGTTATACAATTGTATTGGCTTGTCAGATATTCGGTGCAGGATTATTAAGAGGTTTATAACAATTAACTCAACCTTGATAACCTGATGGTAGTTCTCAGTATATCATATTTGTATTTCATAGTTTTTGTTATCATTCGACTAAATTATTTTGGACATTTACCAATTGCGTTTTGTTCTGACAGGACATGCTGAATTGCAATGTTAAGTTGTGGAACATGCATTATGCAGATTGCAAGCATCTCGGGATATGATTTGTAGTTAAATGTATCTCCTGATCTTGTTCATCAGCCATCTTTTACATTAGACAAAGTTCTCTGATTGGATCATAAGCTGACTACTTAAATTTTCTTGCACCTTTTGGCCCTGTCTCTTGGAAAAAACACTAATTATTTTATTGCGTGTTCTTGTCATACTCAAGCTGCATATATTATTTTCTGCATCATTATCCAACCATCCTTGCACCCATTTACAACTGTGCATCTGTCAGTTCATACTCATTTCAGTTTTTCAATTCTTAAGTAATTAAAGCAACGGTGAGTCGGGTCAAAATGTCAGCCACCTGCTTGGTTTGCCAATTTCTGGCGGAAATTACAATAGAATGCAGTCAGCATAATTGCATACAATTTGGGTTGTCATTTCGAAAACAAAAGCGCTAGCACTGCATATTAAAACTTAAACGATACTTGACCAGAATTTTTTTCTACAAAAAAAACCATATCCTAATGATAAAAAAATGAGTTATAGATATTAAAGTGTAAATTCTGAAGGAAATTTTTAGTATGGGGTAATCATTTTAAAATCAATGGTAATAAAAAATCATGGTGATTGATACATGGTCATTAGATCATTATGTTTGTTAAGCATTTGGTGAATTTATGTGGTGAGAATTTTGGATTACCAAGAATGATAAAATTATTGTTTTAGAAGGTGATGTAATTTTTATATAAAAAAGTAAAAAAATTTTATCATCAAAATAAAGTGATATGTAAAATTAATAATAATTAATTTTATTCATTTAATATGTGTGAATTAAAATTTGTTATTACTTGAAATTGTAATTATTACATAATATAAATTTTTATATTTTTAAATTAATATTAATTATAACGAGTTTAAAGTAATTTATGTATTTTTTTATTTTTTAATATAATATATAATATATAATAAATATTTTTATTATGAATTAATAGATTGGTTTTATTTTTTAATTCAAATTTTTTTACATAATTTATATTATAAAAATCAATTTACTTATCAATAAATATGTTTATAAATTTAATAATTTAATAATATTTTATTATAAAATAAATAACTATTATTAATATTTTAGAAATTATTATCTATAAATAACTTTAAAAATATTAATTTGTGTAACAATAATAATATGTATGATTGTTTTCGTGTTTTTATATAAAATAATGTTTGACTTTTAAGTAATATCGAATATAATAATATAATTATTAATAAAAAAAATGATTTCAAAATTACGAGTGTTAAAATCACTTTAATAATAAAATCATCCCAATAATTACATTATTATGGTAATTTTGTAAAAAATACTAAATGCTGCAAATGATTTTTTTAGGGTGATTGAATGACGGGTGAGTTAAAACTTCAATTTATATAGAACTTTGCTCTAGTTGTTGTACAGTTGTACTACGCATTGCGCAGATGGCGGGAGTTACATGGGACCAAGAAGAAAAACTATTTTAAAGCCACATACGGTAGGCAAATTGCTCAATTGTTTTAAACCACGCTCATATGAGATGATGGTCGTGCTCACTATGGTTGAAGAAAATTGTAGGTGTTCTTTGCCTTGGTTGTAAGATTATCAATGCAAGCTCGTAACTTTGAAACAAGCGTTATAATAATAGCCGAAATATTGGCGGGAGATTCACGAGCGCAATACAACTGAGTCAATGAGATGACAAAAAATCCAAGTTTTCTCTCCACATATGTGGTGGTATGTCCCTGCCACTTTTTTTCCCATTTTCCATGGTACCAAAAAAGCAGCAAAATACAATCAGATGATTAGAGGCAGACAAGTACTGTAGGAGCTTGACACGATATGAAAACCACGGTATTAGCCATGTTAACATCATTTAAGCTTCATTTTTTCACTATCCCTAGCGTTGTCCATATGCCAAGTTTGGGAAGCCTTCACCAGTACCGTCTTCTGAGCTATCTTGTTTGTTTCGTTCAATGTTCATGAAATTGTTACCAAGCACAATTTGCATGCCCTGATAAGGGCCACAACGGGCAGCAGATCTTAATCCCACTTGTGGTTGGTTGAGTTGCTGTTGTTGGAGGTACATTGGCAGCTGTGGTTGCTGCTGCTGATCATTTAAATGGAAAGCCGACTTTGGAGCTAAGAAACCTCGATTCTGCTTATTCATTGAAGCTTGTGCAGAATGAACATGTTGCTCTTGCTGCATTGCAGACAGTAGTGGCATCTACTATGTTTTACAAATGAGTTCAAATAAATGCATTCTTAGTGTTTTGAAAGATATTAAATAGAAGAAATCTATTAGACAGAACCTGGGAAGATGTTGATGCTTGTGGCTGTGCATCAGCGATTTTAGCTAGATACATTAGGTTCTTTTGCAGCTGTGCCTAATGCCTGAATCATTTTTATAAAATCGGAGCTGATATCATAATTTATGGTACTGGTTAACAGACTGTATCACTTGTAAAGTATTAAATATACAGTTCTACCCTAGTTCTTCCACCATGGTGGTCCCTGTTCTTCAGTTCCTTAAATTAGTCAGACCAAGTATTAATAGGTATGTATTTGTGTTTTTTTTGCATTTTCTACGGATAGTATCATTTGTGATAACACAGAGAGCCTACAAGTTGAGCACTAAACCAGCACTGAAGATGCGGGAAACTAGTGATTTAATGCTTTCATTCTGAGATACTGAATTTCAAATACACTTTACACCATCATAACCAAAGAACAATTTTTCTTGCGAAGAACTCAATTTAAGGGGTGACCAAGAAAACCACACAAAGAGCAGCAAATAATAGGAGGCCTATTAAAAGCATACCCTTTCCCTATCATTGACAGAGGAGATGCAACAAAAATACCAGACTGTGGAGCATGAAAAGGGTAAAATATAAATATTTTAACGTCAAGGAATGAGTGAATGACATTGATCTAAAACATTCAGCTCAATGACAAAAATCAGACCGCAATGGGCCAATAACAATTGGTATAATGCTGCCTGGAAGTAAACAAAAGAAAACATTGTCATTATGTTTAAAAATGGTCACTCATGAGGCAATCTCAGCCAACTTTCCCTGGTTTTGATTCTCCAATATTGCCATAATCAATTTTTTATTCTCGTCCAGGTACTGCAAGAAGCATGATCCATTTATCATAGCAATATACACACAAAACAGTCCATTTATATATATAGTCCTACATTTTTCTCAACAAATCATTGTTGTTTCTTTCAACGAGAAACAAGAGAACGATTTAGTAAGAAAACAGTCGAAATTGATTTTAACATGTGCAAATAAGAAAAGAAAATGACATGATTATGAAACTGTGGTAAATGATCATGAACATCAAAGCTAGAATTCCAAAAAAGTTAAATTTGATTACAGAAATAAACATCAAAAAACAATGTATGCAAAACCCATCAATCAAAACACATTATATATCAAGTACAATCAAAGGGTAAATATGTCAAAAATAGGCAATGCTGCAAAGATCAAATAACCGTCTAAATCTGCTCAGTGGGGAGATTCATCAAATGTGGAGGCTGCTGCATTTTGCCCTCCCCAAAATCACAAAAAAAAAAAAAAATGAAAAATGAAAGAAATTCAAACCCTAACCCTAAAGGAGTTCTCTTTGAAACGGGAAGAAGATAGATTGAGGGGCAACATGGGCTGTTTTACTCCACACTGTAATGTTTGCACTCTCTCTATTTATATTTATTGGCTTTGCTTAGTACTCAACATATGTTGGTTTGGTTTGCGCAGCCCACGGGCAGCATTTATATAATAGCAGTAATTAAACAGAAATTAGGTATTAAAAAGTTCTTGAAACGACAACGTGAAGTGGCGTAGTTGAATAGAAGCGGTGTCGTTTGGCTAAGGTCTTAGACGAAATTAGTTTCTAAAAAGAAAAAAGGCACAAAAAGAAGAAACTAGAAAAAAAAGCACAAAAAGGTAGGGGAAGATCAACGATGGGGTACGTATTGAGGGTGAGATTGGCTTCATTCTTCACGGGGGCTGCGACGGCGTCGTTTCTGGGTTTCTACATCCTCTACAAGGATTACAAGGTTGCCCATGAATCCATCACCCAACAGGTACTCCCCTCCCCCCCCCCCCCATTTTCCTATTCACAGTGTTTTGTTTCATAGCATATGGGGTACCTTTCAATTTCTTACGGAATTTATGGATTAATTTCGGGGTTTTCGGATTTGTGCTCATTTGCAAGTTTCATTTAGTAAACCCATATCATGGAGATAGTTTCTGGAGGTATAGAAATCTCGGGAAATGTTTTGGGTATTTTATTTGGTAGTTTTTTCGTCTTTGTGTGTGGTGCTGGGGCTGATTTTTTTTTTTTATTTACTATGTATTTGCATGAAGGAGGCATTGTATTGCATATATAGCTGCTTGGATGATTGGTTATTATGTTTATTGTTGATGGTTATATGAAAATCTAAGCATACGGCCGGTTGTTCTTTGTTTTGGTCCTGGAAGATAGGTTGTTACCGGAACCTATTTAGGTTGAATTTCATGGTCTAAGTTAACCCAATCGTAGCAGGCTTGGGTTAAGATAGAATCTTCTGTTGTTTGGTAAGGGAAGAGAAAAATGATACTTTGGGCGAAAAAGGCTCGAACTTTGATGCTAGGGGTTTTGACCCGGCAAAACCTACTAAAAGCCATATTATACTGCTTATTTAACATTTCAAGTCAATGAAATGTTTTCTTGGAAACCTTTTATTAGGTTAAAAGGGTTTCATTTTACCTCTCTATGTTTAATTTTGATTCTTTGTTTAGTTTTTGACATTATTTCAGTCCAATTGTTTGGGATGGTCTCGTCTGTTAATTCCTACTTCCAGACTTTTAGTGCCGTTTTGCTCTTCTTCTGGCTATGTTTATGTTGTTCCTGCCTATTGTTGGACATTTTTTATCTATGGTTGTTTGTTGTGCCTTAAAAAACCATTGATATACCAACTATAGATGTAATGTCTTCAAGAGTGAAGCCCTAAAATATAAATATCCTAAATGATAGGATGGTGTGAAGAAAGAGTAATAACCCCAGATGCCTGATTTGCGTCAAAAGATTCTGATGCTTGAGACACCCATTAAGATCCATTCCAATGCATTTCTATTTCCTCCTTTGATGTGGAAAAGATGAACTACCAAAAGATGAGTGATCTAATCTGACGGACGGTTACCAATGTTTTACTGAACAAATAATCAACAAAAATGAATAGTTTTCTCCTGTTTGTTTGATTGGATTGATGCATGTCTTTCTGGTGTTCTAACATACAGCCACTTTTGGGGAGCGTTTTGTGTGCTTATATTTTTCACTTTCCCTTTGTGTCCAGGTGAAAAGTCTTCATAAGTCCCTGGATAGACGAATCTTTGCTTTGGAAAGTTTGAAACAAGCTGAAACATCACAACATGTGGAAGCAACTGAATAGGTCCTTTATGGTAAAAAGATTTTTCCTAAAAATGCAATTGGTTCCTAGTTATATTTTTTGTTTCTCCCCCCATGACAAAAAATAATTGTAGCTGAACTATTATCTACTTCTTGAAGGAATGATGGTATATTAAGCAGGTTGACATGATTTTCCTTACTTATTCAGTTTTTTCTGTAATGGTTGAAACAGTGACTGCATTTGAAGTTTAAGAGAATTCAGATTGTCTGTGGTTTGCTGCATTTTTCTGTACTTGGTGAATTGTTGTGTCATATCTTACCAATTATTTTGTTGTTGTTCGATAAGCTGAATCATGATTATGAAGCCTTACCATTGTTTCTACCATAGTAAACAAATGCTTCATTGAGAATGATAAAAATATTAAAAAGCTGGACTTAATGAAACCATGATATGATTACCATCTCAAATGCTGAAAGCATATGCATGCTACAACATTCTGCCTGAATGCATGCATTTCCTAGTTTTTAATTTAGAGGCATGCAAGTAATTGTAGCAGAGGCCCTGGTTTATAATTTAAATGCCTTCTTAGCTTCTTTTAGGGGATGAGAAACGCTAGAGATGAGCAGCTTGATATGATTTTAAATTTCCCTCTGCTGGGGGCAATGATATTCTTATTGCAATTTCTGGTGTCTAACCTCCAATGACAAGCTCTCGAACAGAAATTAACACCTTCGATGAAAAGCTGAGAGGTGGGGAGGGATTACAGTTATAGTTGCTCTTTAAGCTAATTAAATTAATTTTGTCCAAAGCTTTCATCTCGAAAGCAATGTTTCTAGACTCTAGAGTGCATGTTAGTATTTTTTTGTATGCTTGACAGCAGGCAGTCTATGTGATGTAGCAGAACATTTCATGGTTTCAGGCTTTCGGCTCAATCAAAAGGCCTCTTGAGGGTAGAGCCTTTGTGCCACCGTGCTGTTAAAGTCCTTTTGGCAGTATGTAAGGTTTAAGAAAAAACCTAGTGTTTCAAAACCAAAGAGTTCAATAATTGTAGCTACAACTGATCATTACTTGGGTTTAAACTTTAAAGATGGTTATTAACTATAAAATGGAAGTTTCTTTTTTTTTTTTATATGGCTCCAGTCCAGTTTTGTTAAAACAATAATAAAAAGAGTTATGTATTCGTGGCAGAATTTTCAGTTGCTATTTGATTCTAGGACGATGATCTAGTATTATCAACAGGAAGTTATTCTCGTGATTAATCTGGCCGTTCGGGGTCTACTATGTGGAGCTAATATATATTTATCTTGTCGTCAAGAAGAATACAGTCTATGAAAGTGCATTGTTGTACTCTGTCAGCAAAAGCAACTTGGGGGGTTTGGGACTTTGGATTGGGCTCTTTCTGATTGTGAGCCTCTCAACCTCGGCAAGAGTTACTAGCTGCAGCCTGGTCATGCCACTACACTGCCGTTGACTTGAATTTCTCAAATATAATGGGAATCTGGTAAAATATAATTTTGCAGTAAAAACTGAAACCTAGGTTTTATGTGTTATTTACATTTGTTTCATGTTTATCATTTAGCCTAATTAGAGATGCCACTACATCCCCATGGAGGGTCTTCTATCAGCCATAGATTGAGTGCATTGAAGTGCCAGTTCCAGCAAATCTAGGGCCTTTAGTCGTTTATCATTGAGCCATAGGCTGATCTCCTTATCAAGGAAGCAAACGTATTCTTCATTTTCCAGTAGGTTATTTCTAGTACACGAGACGATATCTAGGTCATCCTCGAAGCAAGGGTCTACAGGCAATTTTCCGCAAAGAATCTCTAGCAGAATTACTCCATAGCCGTAGACATCGCATTTCTCTGTCAATCGAGTTGAGTATGCATTCTCTGAAGAAAGCCACAACAGATACAAAAAAAAAAAAAAGAAGCAATTTTAGAAACTCTGTTTCTTCCTTGTAATGTAGAATTTTTAAAATCATTTGAAAATATGATGCAACCGGGTGCTATGTAGCCCAATGTTCCAACAATTGCAGATCTTGTGGAACTCGAATCCAGGTCACAGGCCAATTTTGCCATTCCAATGTCTGCAATCTTTGGTTCGAATTCAGAATCTAATATCATGTTGTCTGACTTGATGTGTCTGGATAATCTGTGGCACGCAATCGTGGTGAAGGTAGGAAAGGCCATGAGTTATACCGTCTGTCCCAGTTTAAAACCAAATGGGGTTGGCTCTCGTGTAGCACATCAAAAAGTGTTCCGCCAGGCATAAACTCAGTTACGATAATCCAAGTCCATCTCTAAAGCAGTAACCTGCCATTCCCAACATATTCCGATGCCTAATTAAGCCAAGAGTTCTCATCTCAAGTCTGAAATTTGTGTCAGATATTCACTTTCTTGACAGCCCAATGGTTCCTAGAGTTGGAAGATTCTGTCCGGTAAACTGTTCCATGTTTGCCTCTCCCAATGATATGCATGTCACTACATCCCTCTGTAGCACGAATAATGTCTTCGATTTTCATATTCTCAGGTAGATCTTCAGTTCTAGATTGTCGCTCACGGCGAAGTGTTTGATCAAAGGAATGTTTCTTTTGCAGGTGTCTAACCACCAGTACATAGATCATCGCACAAAGCAATGCCACGGAGACCACCACAGCAATGGTTACCCCAGCCAGCACCCTTCCGCTGCTGTTGCCTTTTCTATGTTCCTGACAAAAACCAGTTTCATCACCTAGCGGTCAAAGTTCTGGGTTTTCGACAAAAGATCCAGGATATGAAGCTATGATCCTCATCCAAGCAGATGGTAATTTTCCTGTTAGGTGCTTGAATGATATATTCTCGAAGTAGAAGCAGATCATGTTGTTCATATCTGTTGGTATCTCACCAGAGAAACTGTTGCTTGAGAGATCAAGATCTGTAACTTGTCTTGTTTGCCAAGGCATGCAGGGATTTCACCAGAGAGCCTGTTGTTGCTTAAATTAAGGACTGAACTGAAATGGTGAAGGTTACTCAAACTGCATGGAATGAGACCTTGAAGAATGTTACCTCCAAGCTGCAATTCAAATAGACTTTGGAGGGAAGAAAAAGAATCAGGAATACGTCCAATGAGTTTATTCTCTTGGAGTTGAAGGTTTTGCAATTTGGGCAATGATAGTATTTCTGAAGGAATACTTCCTGAAAGATAATTGGCGCTAAGGTTCAGTTTGATGATCTTTTTGCAATGACCCAACTCCGAGGGAATGCTTCCTGTAAGTCTATTAGAAGAAACCCTTAAAATTTGTTGATTTTCAAGCTTCCCAAGCTCTGGAGGTATAGAGCCTGAGAGCCTATTCCGTGAGAAATCAAGCATTCAAAGATTGGTCCAGTGACCAAACACCGGGGGAATCTTCCCTTCAAGCAAGTTTCCCTGGACCTCCAAGAAGAAAACTCCAGCGTTCTCTTCCAAATCTTCTGGTATAGGTCCTTGCAGAAGATTGTTACTAAGGACCACCCTCCTAAGGGATGAGCATTTTCCAATGCCCACTTTAACGGCTGTTCCAAATGGCCAAAACTGAAAAATTAACCCCAGCACATATTCTGCAAGGAATTGATCCGTTAAGGCGGTTCCCCGATAAATCCAATCTGACCAGAGAAGGAGAACTTTTCCTAAGCTCAAATTGCACCTCTCCAATGAGATCATTCTGAGCCACGGATAGAAATCTCAATTTCTTTAAATGAACAATTTCAGATGGGATTCCACCAGTCAAACTGTTGTTGTACAAAGCCAACCGCACCAGGTTGCTCATCCTACCAATTTCTTGTGGAATGTGACCTTCAATATGATTGTTGAATAGAAAAAGAACCTCAAGATTTTTGAGATTGCAAATTTCTGGAGGGATACTTACTCCAATGAAGTTATGCTGAAGCCTAAGCTCGACAAGTGAAATGCAGTTTCCAAGCCCGGAAGGTCAAGAGCCGTTAAGAATGTTATTGAAAATAAATAAATTAGTTAAACCTGTAAGATTTCCTATTGACTGAGGAATGCGACCAACCAGATTATTACCTGAAAGAACAATAACCACTAGCTGATTGCATTGAGCAATCCTCTCAGAAATAGTTCCATTAAGCTTGTTCCCTGAGAGAATAAGCTCTTGTAAGTTTTCCAGACTCCAGAAAGTGTCTGGAATTTCCCCCTTGAGGTTTTCATCAAGATACAGAACTTCAAGTTGCAAAAGGCCTTAAAAGTTTCTGGTGGAATGCCCCATTTGAAATTATTGTAGGATGCTATAAACATAGTAAGGTTGTGGCAGTTTGCAAGGGTTCGTGGCAAAGAACTCGAAAATTCATTCTCGTGAACCCAAAGACAAAAAATTCGACATGAAGGTGGGAAATCAGGTAATGAACCAGTTAGGTAATTCGTGTTCAAATAGAGGAACTTCAAATTTTGAAGAGAAAAAATTTCACTTGGAATCTCTCCACTTAGAAAATTGTTATATAGTCCAATATATTCTAAAGAGGTGAAAAGTCTCACCTCAGGGGAATTTCACCAGAGAAGCAGTTATGGCCCTAGTCAATCCTTCTGAGCCACTTCGACATGAAAATTTGATGAGGGATTAACCCTTCCAAGCCATTATCATTGAGAAGAATGGTATTGTGTTGGCCACAGTTTCCCAGCATTTGAGGTACGTTACCACTGAAACTGTTGCCACTGAGGTGAAGAGAGAGCATTCGCTTGTGGAGGCAGGGATAAGGGACAGAGTTGTTTAATATACCGGATAGCCTAAAACCTAATAGATTCAAGGTTCTGACCTGAAAACTCTTTTCGATGCAGCAAGACACACCTGCCCATTGGCAATGAGACTTTGGGGTATTGGATTGATTCCAAGGTAACAAAAGTTGAGTGTGTTTTGGGAGGCTGTCAAGGAACTGGAGAAGGTAAATTGCAGGAGATAAAGAGGCTTATGAAACTAGGATGGGAATGAGTGAGAAGATAACATGATACTGGAATAACAACACCATGTTCTTATTAAACATGCATTCAACTTCTGTTGGTGAAATTGATTTGACTGTCTTGGATTGTATTCTTTTAATCCACTAATGTTTTGACGTTTTTTTGTTAAACTGCTTTTAAGGGTGACGTGGGTGCTGTAGGTGGCAGCACATGTATGCTGAAACAAGTTCCAATATGTCTGGTTGTTTCCTCTTGGATTACAGCGTGTAAAAATTACAGCACTTGTACTCAAAGAAAAGCTGCTACCAGGGGCTATTTTGACAAAGTAAAATAATGGTGTTGCCCAAAGCGTCGAGGGATCCATAATGCCCAATAATTATATGATGGTGTTCTTTGGGAAGTCGACAACATGAGGCCAGCAATAATTTCCGATAAATGTGTGTTTTTGCACATCTTTTCTTATTACTGTATATCTCGAATATGATAAAAGAAATTGGACAAAATGCATTTCCCCGTATGATAAAAATAAAAGTTAAACATCCTCTTTAAATGAAAAATGGAATACCCCCAATATCTTGGAGAACAATTTAAGTTGGTTTCTCTGGCATGATAATGGTTTGTACTTGGTTGTTAGTCAATCAACAGAAACCCATCATCACTCTCCAAACCTCCAACTTACTACTATGATTTAGAAATAGTCATGTCTCACCTAGATATCAATGAGCGATATATTGTTACTTACCATCTAAGCCAGTAGTACATTTCAATTTGAAAACTAGGTCGTCATACTCTCGAGTTCTTTCTAAATATACTAATAATATGCAGAAATATTGATTTATCGATCAAGTTTAAATTGATATGGTATTAAGCTCGACTTTAAATTTGAAGTTCGAAACTTGATTCAAATTTGATCGAATTTTATATTTTTAGTTTTGAGCTCAATTTGAGATAAAAATTGAGTTACTTAAGTTTGTTCGATTATACTTAGTTAACACGTAAAAATAAATTTGATTCTTATATTAAACAAAAACTCGATTTTTATATTTGATAAAAACTCGATTGTTTTGTACTCGAGCTCGAGCTTAAGCTTAAATTTGAGATATTTAATTAATAAAATAATTACAATATATTAAAAGATAAAAGCTTGATTAAACTCGCGAGATAATCGAGTCAAATATAAGAATGCTTGAACTCGACTCGATCAATAAGTCGAGTTACTCAAATTCAAACTTAACTCGATAATAATCGAGTCAAATTTAAATTTAAGTTGAATTCAAATAATTTACGAATATTAATATATTATTTAAAAGAAATAAACTTAAAAATCTATTGGTATTTTGGATCCTATCTGATTTTGGTATAATATAGCCTAAAGTCTATCCAAATATAGCTTGATTATATGAGCTTTGTTCTATTCCAAAAAGGAAAGAATAAAAGCATATCCATTATTTAGTTTGCTACTATTTCAAAGCGTTTTGGGGGCTAGAGGCCTAGCCCATTGGTTTCCACTTTCAAAAATATAAAATACAGTTGGAAGTAAGAACCAACTTACCAAAGCTTGGACACATCCAACTTTTTCCTCGGTCTAAAGTTTACAATGTATAAAAGTATGGAAGAAAAATGGTCCTGACATGTTTTGCTAACAATGAAAAGAGAGGAAGAAAAAAAGAAATAATAATACAATAAAACCCTAAAATCATTAAGTATTAAAAAAATAATATTCCAATTTTTGAAATCAATTTGGTTGAAGAGATGGAAAGTGGCAGGATCATGTGATTGCTTAGGAATGCAAAGTTCATGTCCGAACTACATGTAGATTTGGCAATTTAAAATTTGATATGTTGATAACATGAAAACAATATGAAAAAAAGACACGAAAGTGAAATAATTTATAATTTTAAGAAAAACCATATATGAATTTAACCAAAAAAAATATTTCATATTTTTATATTAACACAAATTGTAACATGTAATTTTAATGTAAAATACAATACGAATACATGTATTTCAATATTTTTCACTACATGAATACACAAATTGTCAGGTTTAACCACATACTTCCCAAATGCCAAAAACACATAGAAAATCAGATAAACCTTGCTATCTTGGACAATAAATTGAGAATAATAGGTTACTTGATAGCTCTGAATTAAAAAGAAAGAGCAAGACTTTTGCTTTTTTTGGGGTGGTAGCTAGGAAATTGATCAATCAAAACAACCTAAAAGTAGTCCATGCTATCCTTATTTTGTTGTTCCTTGATGGAGAGACATGTCTCCCTTGCACTATCTTTACCTAGCGTTGTATTTGTACTAACAAGTGGACTCTTTTTTTTTTTTTTGTTTCCATATGATCTAAATCAATAAGGTTTGGTTAGCATAAAGAATCTCAACCCTTTCCATTTACATATATGATTTACTAGTTCCATTAAATGAGCTCACAACATAGAATTAAAACATAGTTTGGTTAGGCCAGGAAAACTAGAGATGGAGGGAATGTGGTTTGTTTAGTTACCTTTGTTGAGCTTAAATTTATACCATCTATGGATAATTCTTTCAATGTAGACCATAAATATCTATTCTCCATGATACTGAAACCAGTTACCACCTCTAGTAGTACATATTGCAATATATTTAGAACATTCATAAATATGGGATAGAAATCTACCCTAGACCTCTACATTGATTTAAAATTTATCATTACATATGTAGTGAAAAGGAAGAGAATGAAATGAGTAAATGCTGGAACGAAATATGGTGTGATTATCTAACACTGGTGGAAGTCAAGTTATTGACTTTAAACAAGTGCTTCTTAAGAGGCAACCTAAGCATTTAAAATTTCATGTTATTTTCTTTATGTTTTAGATTTTTGCTTTTATAATGTTTAGTTGTTTTCTTTGTTTTATAGGCATTTTTGTTTTGTTTTGTAGGTACAATAAAGGTGGCAAGAAAAACCTTTAATGATCACATTCATGAAGATAGGAAAGTTTCCTTTACCCTTGTGCATTTTAATTCATTTTACTTACACATTGAAGACAACATACTATTCAAGTTTGGTGGTTATGAAAAATTGCTCGAAATGTTTTTGAAATTTTTTGACAATTTTTCATGGATATGTGCTTGCATTGTTTTTACTTAAGTCATTGCTACGTTTCTTGGGATTAATTCTTCATAAATCCAATGATAAGTAGAAATTGAGAATGAATATAGCCTTAGGAAAAGATTAAGTAGTATGTGAAATATGAGATTATTCTTTTATAATAAATGACTTTTTGGTTATGAGTTTTCATTAGTTGTATTTTGATAATTGATTTGCATATTTTATATTGTGAATGATTATGTGAGCACAAAATATTTTTGCATTGATCTTTAAAGTAGTGTTTAGTGTTTTAGAATTTGTTTGAATCATCTTTCGAGGTGAAATTCTGGATGACACATAATTAGGGAAGTGATATAGGTCATCCTTGGATCGATTGAGCATTTTAAGCAAACCTTGATATAGTTCTTTCATAGTTACCCCTTTTGGACCTAATGATACCTTTCTTTGTTATGAAACTACATTATTAACCTAAGCCTTGTTTTTATACTTCCTATCTTTTAGTCCCTTATCCCTTGTGCATTAAGATATTCATGCACAATTTTTGAGTTATGCATCATTTGGGAGGAAAGATAAAGGTAGAAAAAAGAATGAAAAAAAGAGAGAGAAAAAAATAAAGCTAAAAGTAACTTATGTTTCGAAAAAGAAAATGAAAGAAAAAATAGTTATGAAAAAGAAAAAAAAAAGAAAAGAGAATAAAACGTTGAAAAAGAAAAAAAGAAAAGATATGCAAAATGAAAAGTTTAGGGGTGTTTCTTTACACAGTAATCTTCTTTCCCTTGAAAGCTCATGTTGAACAATTCTAGACAAAGTAATGCATAGTTAGCGTACTTGAGCCTATAATATCTTTTATCATACATTGACTTTATCTTTACGTTATAAGCTTAAAAATGTCTTTATTGATTTTTCATTATGTGTCTATCTATATTAGTGGAGAGAGATGAGAAAAACAAACATATGAAACACTATTCACACTTTATGGATGCTTTGTTTTAAAATTTCATGTTTGCATAATCATCATTAGATTCTATGTGACGATATGAATGAAATGTGACTTGCAATGGAGCTTTAATAAAAAAGAAGCTTATTTTAGGAATATTGTTATAGATTAGCCAATCCTTATGATTTTTCTTTAGCTATATTTGTTAAGAAATTCATAAGGAATATTGTGTTGAATGGATCATTGGATATATGTGATGATTCTTGCACAATCTTATTTTGCTTGAAGACAAGCAAAATACTAAGTTTGGGATGTTGCTGATTGCAAGTGTACGTGTCACACAAGTAATAAAGTGGAAGAATTAACTCCAAATATCATCTCTCAAGGTATGTGGTAGTATCTAGAGCTAACTATTAAAGTTGGGCACCTTAGGTATATTTAGATTTAACAAAAATTAAAGAGCTTGAAAATTTAAATAAACATTAAATTTAAATTGCATAAATTTAAAGCGCATGAAAAATAAATTACGTAAAAAGTAAATGAATGCATGAAATTTAAAAACTCGAAATTACTACTAGAAAAGTAAATTGCATAAATTTAAATAACATAGAAATTTAAATTGCAATAAATTTAAATAACATAAAAAATTAAAGTGCTTCAAAAATAAATTACATGTAAAAATTAAATTGTAAAAAAATTAAAGATCAAGCAAGTAAAGATGAGCTTAACCTATATTAAAAAGGACATGAACAAAAAACTAATGTATTTATAATAGCTAAACATCATGAAATTTAAGGCAATTGAACTTGAAAATTAAAGGAAAATTTAAATGAGCATTTGAACTTAAAGAACATGGAATTAAAACAACAAAAAAATAGCAACAAAAAAGGAACTAAAGAGTATGAAATTTTAAACCGAATAGAACATCAAGATAGATTGAAAAGGCAGCAGCTAAATATGATGAAAATAAATGCAAGAAAAATAGAAAAATATTAGATTCAGGTAATATAGAGCCCCATAAGTGATGTCTCAATCTAATGGCATCCAAATAGTATCCTTATCTAGCTCAAACAACCTTGAAAAGCAAAGAAAAAAAAAGAGCAAAAAATAAAATCTAAAAAATAGCCATTGAAAATGTGGAATTTTTATTTATATGCAAAGTGTTTTTGCTCTCCAAATTGAACCTAACACTAGCAAATAAGTAGTAAAGACCAATGGAAAAGCCAAGAAATTTTTAAGGAAAGAGAGAAACGAAGAAAAACCCTCATTACAAGAAAATGGCGTATTAGTGGC